CTGTTATACAAAAGGGGTGTGGATGTCAAACGTGTTCAAATGTTAAGGGGTCTCAGTATAATTTTTGAAATGTGAGGGGGTGTCCTCGTCATGAAATCAAATGTCAGGGGGTGTGAGTATAATTTATGCAATTGGGAACTTCTTTGCCACGGATGCATGGATTCCAGCCACCGGAGTGTCCTTCACTTCTACCCTGTAACACACGGTTACACCTTTATGTCAATTTTAGTTAGGAAAATGACTTGCATGTGCTATAATTTTCATTAGTTTGTGACTTTATGTGTTGGCTTCTTGTTGTATAGTTTTTGTATATCAAGAGATGCATTCTATGAAAAGAGAAAATATATAGTTTTACTTATATTTTTGTGGTGGTTTGGGTGATTTAAATTAAAAATAATTTTAATAACCTCTATTTTTTTTTATCAAATGTCAGGTTAGAATTTTTTCATAAATAAATTCTTGAAAATTTTGGCTAATTCAAACTGTTTCCAGCTTCATACAAATTATAAATTAGTGAGTCCATAAGAATCAGATGACTCAGTACGTAGGCACAATAATCTATCACAAATTTGCTTGACAACGTTATATTAGATGTGTTCAACATATAATCTCACTGTGAGTTTTAAAATAGTTTGTATTCTGATGTAAAACCTGATATTTGCCCTTTTGTAAACCAACTAATTTTCTTTTCCTTTTCATCTTTCTTTCTAAAACCTTAACATCAAACTACGTTCACCAGTAGTTTTCGTTTCCTTCTAATGTTGTTTCAAACATGTATTTGGATGATTTTTGTGTGTAAGAGAGAGAGAGAGAGATAGAGGAAGAGAGAAAGACCAATGTGTTTCACAACTTTAATTCACATGGAAAGAAGTCTCTTCTTGCGGCTAAGACTAACAAAAAAACACTTGCTCACAAGCCTAATGGAGTCGAACTTAAAAATGTTCTTCAAACCTAACTGGTTTGGGATATCAAATTTATGTTATTAACATTCCTCCTCCACTAATCAAAAAACAGTTGCACAGTAAGTATTAAAAAAAAGCTATCCAAACAAACAGAAAAAATTTATTTCATTTGTATCTCAATCCCTTCACAACTGTAACTAACCACATACAACGATAATTTTGATGCACATTTTTACTCATATTCATAACCTTATCAAATTTGATTCAATAAAATGTCAAATTATCCCACACAGCCTAATTGAAAAATTTTCATATATACTACTCAATACCCCATTAAATAATCAACTCAATAATCTATAATCTATTTAATACTCAATTCACTAATCAACTCAATAATCAATAATCTATAATCTACTCAATACCCAACTCAATAACTCAATCAATAATCAACTCAATTCAATATCGGATATTTTCAATGAATTTCAATATTTCTATCATTTCATATAATTTTAATATTTTTTATTAAATAATCAAACAACTAGCTTAAATAATTTCAATTTTCTCACCTACTGGATGTTGTCAATGGTGCATGGAGATTTGGGGCTTTAGTGGTTGGGTGGGGTTGGGTGGGGCTGCGTGGTCATGGGGGGGGCTGGGTGGTCGTCGGTGGGCCTGCGTGGTTGTGGGTGGGGCAGGGTGGGCCTGCGATGGTGGTGGGTCTCCGCTGGTGATGGTTCTCCAGTGTTCTTCTGCGCTGGTGGTTCTCCGATACTACTCTGGTGGTTCTCCAATGCTGCGTTGGTGGTTCTCCGATGGTGGTAGAAGGCTGACTTAGGGCTCAATTTCGGGGGAAAAAGAGAAAGAATAGGAGAAAGGCGAGGGGGAGGAGGGAAAAAAATAGGGTTTTTGATTTGAGTTAAAAAAAAATAAAAGCGTCAGTTTAACTAACGTCTCCAATCTAACTTAAAAACGTCAGTTGGTTTGACGTTTTTAAGCTAAAGGCATCAAACCAACTGACGTCTTTTGGCTTAAAAACGTCAGACCAACTCACGTTTTTTAAATGTCTTGAGTTTGAGAAATACTTCAAAACAATGCCTTAGTTGAAATTTTTTTTTAAAAATCCCATGGCATGGGTCAAAAACTCGGCAGAGGCTCGAGCATTGCCTTTTTGTCAGATTCCTTTCAAGGGTCTGTATGGATGGACCTATTTCTGTGGCAAGCTATGCCAAAGGTAGAGCCTGCCAGAGTCCCATTGCCACCTTCACACCCGATGGTTTGGCACTGGGTGGAGTGATGCTTTCTTCTACAAGGGATCAACTTTTAAGATGCAACTCGAGTTGGTCGGTATTGATTATTATAGGTGGTTTCACAATCACTCAGTCAGCCATTGTTTTAGTTTTACGTGATTGGCCACCCGTTTGCTGGGTGATCTAACATTCAATATGTGGAGGCAGCTCTCTGAGGGTGGAGTTCTACTGTCAGCTATGGAGTGTGCTAAGCAGGATGCATGGGATCGGGCGAAGAGTACTGAGGTTTAGGAGCTGCGTCTGTTGATCATTTTCGTATTTTCGGATGCCTTGCACATGTAAAAGTAGTTACACCGCACATTCCGAAGTTGGCTGATCGTAGCAAGCAAATGGTGTTCATTGGTTATGATATGAATACAAAAGGCTATCGAATGTTCGACCCAGCGACAAGACGAGTTGTGGTGACACGAGATGCAGTGTTCGAGGAGGAGAAGAAGTGGGAGTGGAGCAACTCTCCAGTAACAGGTACAGGATCAGCAGGAAACACTCTTGCAGCACACTATTTTACCATAGCAGGCGCATCTGATACGACAAATCAGGAAGATAAAGTAGCGGTCAACGATCCTGGTATTGGTATCAGTAACTCTGGTATGGATTTCCCACAGCCGACACAGGAACAAACTGGTAACCGATACCAGCATGCTTCACCAGTGATGAACATGAGATCCAGAACATCTGTTTCAGACCCCGATTCATTGACACCACACACTCCAGATGCAACTTTTGATGCTTTTGATGGTTCGGCCTCAACAGAAGGAGTGCAGCCCACAACATCTGATGAGAGTTCATCAGAAGGACCACGGGGTAAGCGTGACATCAAAAGCCTTTACGATAAAACCTTCCCAATAGAACTGGAGTATTCGGGACTGGTTTTGCTAGGAGAGGAGGAGCCATCAACTCTCGAAGAGGCTAAGGCAGACCCGATGTGGAGAAAAGCAATGGAGGAGGAAATTTCTTCCATTCGAAGGAATAAAACTTGGAAGCTCGTCCCATTACCCGACAGCCACAAACCTATAGGTCTAAAGTGGGTTTACAAACTAAAGAAGGACACTCAAGGCAGAATCGTGAAGCATAAGGCGAGACTAGTGGCAAAGGGGTACGTTCAGCGACAAGGCATAGACTTTGATGAAGTTTTTGCCCCTGTTGCTCGGCAAGAGACGGTACGTTTGCTGATCTCTATTGCGGCACATGAAGGATGGGAGGTGCATCATATGGATGTAAAGTCAGCTTTCCTCAACGGTGAGTTGGAAGAAGAAGTGTATGTAATTCAACCGCCGGGATTTGAAATAAAAGGAGAAGAGCACAAGGTATTGAAACTGCACAAGGCATTGTACGGTTTGCGACAAGCACCTAGAGCCTGGAACTCAAAACTGGACAAGTCATTGAGGACACTCGGTTTTGAGAGGTGTTCTTTAGAACATGCTGTGTACCTGAGAAATCAAGGTAAAGGGAATTTAATTGTTGGAGTCTACGTGGATGATTTAATCATCACTGGAGAGTGTATTCAAGACATAGACAAGTTCAAATCACAGATGGAAAAATTGTTTAGCATGAGTGACCTTGGGTTACTAAGTTACTATCTGGGAATTGAAGTCTGTCAGAATTCTCAAAGGATTACACTCAACCAGTCGGCATATGCAAGGAAGATTTTAGATAAATGCGGCATGAAAGATTGCAACCCTTCGCAAATCCCGATGGAACCTCGTCTGAAACTGAGCAAGGAAAGCACAAGTCCACCTGTAGACACAACTCTGTACCGAAGTATTGTTGGCAGCTTAAGATACCTACTGCACACGCGCCCAGATTTGGCATTCTCTGTCGGCATGGTGAGTAGATACATGGAGAAGCCCACAACGGAGCACATGGCCGCGGTGAAGCACATACTGCGGTACGTGAAAGGAACTTTAAACCTCGGTTGCGTTTATGAAAAGAAGGAAGGAAGCTTGAAGCTGATCGGCTACTCTGATAGTGATCTAGCTGGTGATACTAATGATAGGAAAAGCACCTCAGGTTTAATATTTTTCCTTGGGTCAAATCCTATTAGTTGGTGTTCACAAAAACAAAAAGTGGTTGCGTTATCTTCCTGTGAAGCAGAGTACATCGCTGCCTGTGCAGCAGCATGTCAAGGAGTATGGCTGGGACGATTGTTGGCAGAGTTGTTAAAAAACGAGGTTAAGAAAGTGTTTCTGAAGATTGATAATCAGTCCGCAATTGCATTAAGCAAGAATTCAGTTTACCATGAGAGGAGCAAACACATCGATACCCGATTCCACTACATTAGAGATTGTGTTGAATCAGGAATGATTGAAATTCAACATGTTTGCACAGAAGATCAGCGTGCTGATATTCTGACTAAGTCACTTGCAAGATTGAAGTTCTTGGAGATGAGAGAGAAAATTGGTGTGCGGATCGTCAGTGGAGGACAACAAGCTTAAGGAGGAGATTGATGAGTTAATCTAGTTGTCTCCAGGAGTTGTCTATGTATGGCTTGCACGTTATGCATATTGTTAGGCAGTTAGGATTTAGGTTCAGCAGTTACTAAAAATTAGGGTAGCATTTATTTTGAGCAGTTTTATTTTTAGAAAACGTGGGCTGTAATGTTAGTGGTGCAGTTATGATTTTGTATTTGCTTATATAATGAGAAAAACCAGAAAATGATGGAAAAAAAAAATTTTTGCAAGCATCACAAAAAATCCACTGTGTTTGTTTGAGTTTCAATTTTGTTACTGGCTTGAAGAGAACCAACAGCGTCAGACAGGTATGGTTTTTTTTTCTTTTCTTTGTCCATTTCATGGTGGTGGGGATCGAGCAGAAAGGCGACCCATCTGTGCATCCATGTGTTGCAGCTGCTTGTTTGAAGTCTGGTTTGGTGTCAGGGGTCAGGACCACTTCCTGGTGTGATCCCCAGGTTCTATCACCAGACGTTGGTGGTCAGGGTGCAGGCCATTCTGGTCATGGTGCTGGAACGTGAGTAGTGGAGGTCTGGTGATACGTGACCGTACAGGTACTGATCCCAGTCACAGCTGCTCTGTCGTTGCAACAATTTTCCACGACGGCTTTAACTGACTCCCCCTCCGGAAGGCATAGGAGGGAATGATTGCTTTCTTGATGATTGGAACTTTTCTTTTACTTCCAGCACTGTACGTACATGTGGTTCGTTGAAAAAAGATGAGTTTAAAGATTTTACTGTTTATTGATTATTCTTCCCAGAGGTCCTAGTGTGGTCGCTCACGGGAATTAGCCTCTTTACAAAAAATAGTGGTGAGGCTGCCTACCTACTATCTCGCCTAGACCCTGTGCTCTAACTAACTTGTTCATTGGTTATGGCCTATTGATTTTGCTTCCCCTTCCCGCTTTTTGTTGTTCTGATCTTTTGAGTGAAACAAACATATGAAATTTTTGAGTTTTGCACCGACAGTGAGAACTACCTCCTTTCTTCAACTAATTATACAATGACTGAGCTTCCGTGTAATTCAGTCACATTGTTAGTACACTAATGAGGCTTCTTTGACGAACTGGAATGATTCTCGTGGCTTAAGATTTGAGTTTCCGGGTGAACAGAACATAGTAGTTAGGCTAAGATGAAAGTAGGGTCACAATGGTAGTAAGCAAGCTTTGATTCTTGTGATGTTTCTCTTGACTTTATACAACATGCTTGAGAACCATTTTTTTTTCCCTTTTGATCAAACTAATTTAGAATTTCAAAAATTATACGGGAGTGCCAAAAGTTGACGGATGAGAAAACGAATTTTAAGTATTTCTCAAGAAAATTTCTTTCATCCTTTTATTAGGAAGTTGTTTTTGATTTTTCTGGAAAATTTTATGTATATTTCGACTGTTTTGACCTAATACTCTTGCTAGGGTAAAGGGGTCAATTGGGCCTATAAGGGCAAAACGAACATTTTGCACCTATATAGGGAAAACTCATAATTTGGCTCTACCTTGGATAATTTTCCAAGGGTAGGGAAACCTTAGAAACTTCCAGTACGTGGTTCGAGTCATTTCAAGAAGAAACTTTCTCAATCAAAAGTTGATTATGTCCACAAGTAGATATTGATTGGTACACTATCCTTTAAATGTTGGAAGTACCTCTATCATGAAAGGAATCTTCTTATATATGTTTTCCCAATCTGCTCGGTTGCAAATTAGTCCCCTTTTTGTACTTCCATTTTTTTTATTGGGTTTTATACAATTTATTATATGCTTCCATTTACTAGCATTTGTTTTATAGGGTTTGCAATTCCTATTTGGCATAGTAACGTGAAATGGAATTTGGGGATATATGGCAAGGGTAGTAGTTTCAATGAAATCAATAAACTTGAGGGTTGGGGAATTTTTGCAATGAGAGAGTGTGGTCCCACTATTAGTGTTAATAGGACATTGTGTGCAAGACATTTTATTTGATGATGCACAAAACTGTCTTCGTGCAAGATCAACAGTCAAGTATATGTAAGGGTGCAATTAATGAGTGACAAACAAGCAATCAATGACAATTAAGAGTAAAACAGTAAATAATAGATTAACACAAAGATTTATAGTGGTTCGGTCCGGGTGACCTACTCCACTTTCGAAAACGGCAGCGGTGGCCTAGTGTTCTTTATTGATGAATCATGGTCTCCGGAGAGTTATAGTGCTTTTGAGAGAGAGAGAAAGAGAGATAAGTGCAGAGAGGTTTTGGAGGCTTCAAGGTGTAGAGGTCTCAAGAAGGTCCTTGGAGGCGTTCCTGACCTGTCATGTTGAGAGGGCTTACATTATATAGCTAGGGTAAGGTAGTAGAGACGGTGACATGAGGGAGAAGAATTCTATTGATTTGGCAAGTATTGCTATGGTAGGAGATCTTCTATATCTATCTCCATATTATCTTCCCTCGTGCTCCTATTCATCTGGAGAAAAACATTAGTTGGACCTGGACCTAGACTTGTCATGGACCTGGAGTACCAAGGTGAGGAGGATCAAGAGGAGGGGCGCCCAAGGGCTACCATGGGCGGCGCCCAAGGGCTCCCTTGTCCTCCTCCTCCTTCGGCCATTGGCTTTTGGTGATGTCCTCTTGGTGTCCTCCTCGATGAGTCGACAATGAACGCTTCTTTGGGCTTTTCGATTTATTTAAATTGGGCTTGGCCCAGTAAAATCCGAGCTCATCATTTGCCCCCATGCCCCAAGCCTCTGACTTTCGGTGAGAGGAAGGGGTTATGGGCATGTGCTACAACTTCACCTGAGTAAGTCAAATTTTTCTTGTATTTTCTTCGGTACCACAACAAGTTCATGGGAACTAGGAGTTCAAGCAGTTGTGGAGGAGAGAAAGCGAGGAGGAGTCCACGCCCTTGATATCATAGGAGTCTCCCATAGAGGTGTTTTGGGCGGTGCCCACGTTGAGATAGGAGAGGTGAAGAGGGCTTCAATGGTGCTCTCTTGGAGAAGTAGCTGAAGAGTCCAAGGAGGGAGCACTTGGTGGGTGACACCCATGGTGTATATGTGAGCTGTTGGGCGGTGCCCATATGGCTGAGGTGCGCGTCTAAGACCACGAGGCAGGCGACCAAGGCAAAAGGTAGGCGCCCAAGGCAAGAGGTAGGCGCCTAGGGCCAAGAGGTAGGCGACTAGAGCCATGAAGTAGGCGTCAGCGCCTTGCTGGGCGGCACCTTCTTTGCTGTGGACCCCAGTATGGCATCAAATGTAAGGGGAGACTTGGTGGGCGACGCCAACTTGACGGCGAGGCAGGAACATTGCAAACGGCTTTGGGCGCCTCTTCTGGACGAGAGGGAGAGCTGGGCGACGATGATGGAGGTGGAGGTTCTTTGTGTTGTCTTCTCCTCTTCCAAGAGGGTGATGCCCCCAGTACTTTTCGACCAACGCTTGATGGTCAAGTTAGTGCCCCCACTCCTTCCCCGACTATGACTTCTGGAGCTAGCCTTTGGAGTTGAGACTCCTGTATGGTATTCTATGGGGATTGTAGCTCCACATAGCTGTCCTGCTTTGACCTGACTTTGATGAACGAGAGCCTTTGGACCTGTGGGATATCAGAGAGACAGGCACAGGGGCTACTGAAGAGCAAGTATAGCTCAAGTGGCAGGCACGAGAGGATGCCACGGAGTAATAGGGCTCGGGCGGTAGGCACGAGAGGATGTCGCAAAGCAAGTAAGGCTCGGGCGACAGACACGAGAGAATGCCGCGGAGCAAGTATGGCTCGGGCGACAGGCATGAGAGGATGCCACGGAGTAGTAGGGCTCGGGCGATAGACACGAGAGAATATCGCGAAGCAAGTAGGGCTCAGGTGACAGGCACGAGAGGATGCCACGGAGCAGTAGCGCTCGGGCGACAGGCACGAGAGCATGCCGCAGAGCAAGTTGGGCTCGGGCTACATACATGAGAGAATGCCGCGAAGCAATTGTGGTTGGCTTATGAATGAGGTGCTAAGCTAGTGATTGAGGCTGCTCAGGAGTAGAGGTAGAACTACGTATAACTCAGAAGAGGGCTGTCGTGGCAGAGACTCATTCCATTTAGATGGAGATGAGGAGGGCTCTCTCATTCCACTGAGATGGAGATGAAGAGGGCTATGAAGAGTAGGGCGCCTGAGACTCATTCCATTGAGATGGAAATGAGGAGGGTGTTGAGGAGCTGGGCGCTTGAGGCTCATTCCATTGAGATGGAGATGATGAGGGTGCTAATGAGCTTGGCGCCTGGTGTCTGGTGTTGGGCACCTAAAGCTGGGCGCCTGGTGAGAGGGGGCGAGACCTATCATGGGGGCACCTAAGGTGGAGATGGCGAGACCCCTTGTTTGGGCGCTTGGTGAGAGGGGGTGAAACCCATCGTCTAGGCCGCCTGGTGAAAGGGGGTGAGACCCATCATCTAGGCCTACCTAGTGAAAGGGTGTAAGACCCATCGTCTAGGCCGCCTGGTGAGAAGGGGTCAGACCCATCGTCTAGGCGACATCGAAGGAGGCGCCAAGGTGGAGAAGGCGAGACCGTCATGGGGGCGCCTAAGATGGAGAGGGCGAGACCCCTCATCTAGACGCCTTTTGACATTTTGTTTACCTTGTTGTTGATAGGTTGTAGAATGTTTGAGATGAAAACAAGACAATTATGAAAAACCTTAATCATGCAAATTTTTATAAAATAATGAATAACAAAATAAATCATCTGAAATTATAAAAGATAAATAAAATCTTCAAGCGTGTCCCATAGGTGGGCCGATGTTTCCTTGGCGGAGTTGTAGCCCTCAAGAGATTGTCTAAATTTCTTCGAGGGGTTGTTGGCGTTCTCTGTCGTCTTGGTAACGACCAAGTGGCAGGGCTTGTCCTCTGCCAACAATGTATTGCCTCAACTGACTACGTTGTATGAGCTCCTCTATCTGCCTTTTGAGCTCATTGCAGTCATTTGTGTCGTGGCCATGGTCGCGATGGAAGCGACAATACCTGCTGTGATTTCTATGGTTTGGGGCTGACTTCATTTTTCCTGGCCAACGGAGTGTAGGGTCATCCTGTATCTGAAAATAGGATATGCTCCACCGAGGCATTGAGTGGCGTAAAAGGTTGTCGGTCTCTCGGGGGGTACGGACCGAGACGGTTCTTCACAGAAACTCTTTCGGTTCTCTTTATCTTGTTCTCTGCCTCCCACTTGTCTTCACGGATGTCTTTCCTCTTCTCCCCTCCTTAGGAGAACTCACCTTGACAGGCCTTGGTGATGTCATCAGCATTCATGTATTTATGTGCCTTAACAGCAACTCGAGCATGTTGGAGGGCGACTTCTTGAGGACAGAGAACATGAAACTAGAGGTGCGGAGGCTGGCGATAAAGGCGGCAAGAGATACCTTATCATCTGGCTCCTCAATCTAGAGAGCCTCCTCGTTGAAGCGGGCGAGCTAGTCTTGCAGGCTTTCATCCCTGTCCTGCTTGATGGTGAGCAAGTGGGTCACTAGTCTCTGATGTCGGCGTCCCCCAATGAAGTGGGAGACGAAGGACCTGCTGAGTTCTACGAAGGAGTGGATGGAGGAGGGCTTGATCTTTGCAAACCATTGACGTACAGGCCCCTTGAGGGTGGTAGGGAAGGCTCTACACATAATCTCCTCAGGTATGTTGTGTAGTTGCATGAGGGATTTGTAGGTGTCCAAGTGGTCGAGGGGGTCTTTGGTGCCATCGAAGATCTCGATGATGGGCAACTTGAACTTCGAAGGCAACGGGTAATTAACAATGTCAGTAACAAAA